TTGATGTGAAGTCAATAAATCTTATGACACATGTTAAAGTAGAAAGGATATAAAATGAAGATATTTTCTTGGTACAAGTGTATACATGCACAAATATGTCTTTAACAATAGAAGGAGGAAATACTCATGACAATTACAGTCCTTGTTTCTGCAGCTGGTCACGTGGTCATAGCTGGTATTGATGACTACCTACTTCTTTATTTTTTAATTTTTTTTTTTTACACTTTAAGTTCTAGGGTACATATGCACAATGTGCAAGTTTGTTACATATGTATACATGTGCCATGTTGCTGTGCTGCACCCATTAACTCATCATTTACATGAGGTATATGTCCTAATGCCATCCCTCCCCGCTCCCCTCTTCCCACAATAGGCCCTGGTGTGTGATGTTCCCCTTCCTGTGTCCAAGTGATCTCATTGGTCAATTTCCACCTATAAGTAAGAACACGCAGTGTTTGGTTTTCTGTTCTTGTGCTAGTTTGCTGAGAATGATGGTTTCCAGCTACATCCACGTCCCTACAAAGGACATGAACTCATCCTTTTTTATGACTGCATAGTATTCCATGGTATATATGTGCCACATTTTCTTAATCCAGTCTGTCACTGATGGACATTTGGGTTGATTCCAAGTCTTTGCTATTGTGAATAGTGCTGCAATAAACATACGTGTGCATGTGGATGACTACTTACTTCTACTACCCATTCTGTATTCCCTCTGCCTTCAGTGAGCACTTCAGCACTTTGTGTTTGTTTGTTTCTTTGTTTGTTTTCCTGGTGGAGTGACCCAAACCTTCATTCTTGAAGGATCTGGGTCATTTGCAGTCCTGCCTGGATTTGGCTGCTGTAGTTTCCCAGTGACCTTAATCACAGGTCATGGTAATACTAAGAGATACTCTAATGGAACTCCTGTATTCCATATATATACTTCCTTACCTCTGTTGTGGAGTAGTAGACTGATTTCATCTTGATAGTCTCTCTAAGTCTATCACCCCAGCCAACACTGTAACTCCCTTCTTAGTCTGTTGACTTAAAGGTAGGAGGAGCCCAAAGTGTCCAGGTGGCAATCTTAACTTCCAGTTTAATGGAATCGTTGTTGTGTCTCTTGGTGGGAGCGTTCCTTGCTCTGGAACTAAGACCTCTATGCCAGCAGAACGTATTGTTGTGGGAACGGGAAGCAAAAATTTTACTAGTGGATCACTAGGGATGATGGTGAGTGGTGCTACTTCCACTTCCACCCCTTGATTTGTGGACCCATGAATCCTGGCTATGGGAGAAACAGTACCATACATTAGACACTGACTCAGAGCATATGGGCCTTCTGGAGAACTTTGCCGCAGCCCTGAAAAGTATTGTTGCCTAGATGGCATTGTAATTGTGACTTCAAGAGGCCATTTCACCATTCTATCAATCCAGCTACTTCAGCATGATGGGGAGCATGGTAAAACCAGTGATTTCCATGAGCATGAGCCCACTGCCACACTTCTGTAATCATAAAGGGGGTGCCTTGGTCAGAGACAATGCTGTGTGGAGTACCATGATGGAGGATAAGGCATTCCATGAGCCACGGATAGTAGTCACGGCAGAAGCATAGTATGCAGGATAGGCAAACCCATATCCAGAGTAAGTGTCTATTCCAGTAAGGACAAACCTCTGCCTTTTCCATGATAAAAGAGGTCCAATTTAATCAACCTGCCACCAGACAGCAGGCTGATCACCCTGAAGAATGGTGCCATATCAAGAGCTCAGTGTTGGTCTCTGCTGCTGGCAAATTGGGCACTCAGCACTGGCCATAGCCAGGTCAGCCTTGGTGAATGGAAGTCTGTGTTGCTGAGCCCATGCATAACCTCCATCCCTGCCACTATGGCCACTTTGTTAATGGGCCCATTAGACGATGACAGGGGTGGCTGGGAAAAGAGGCTGCATGGTATCCACAGAATGGTCATCTTATCCACATGATTTTTAATATGCTCCTCTGCTGAGGTCACCAGTTGGTGAGCACACACATTGGAAATAAATATCTTCACAATGTTTGACCACTCAGAGAGGTCCATCCACATACCTCTTCCCCAAATTTCCTTGTCACTAATTTTCAAATCAGATTTCTTCCATGTCCCTGACCATCCAGTCAAACCAGTGGCTACAGTCCAGGGATCAGTATCTATTCGCACATCTGGCCATCTCTTCTTCCATGCAAAGTGGGCAACTATGTGCACTGCTCAAAGTTCTGCTCACTGGGAAGATTTCCCTTCACCACTCTCCTTCAGGGATGTTCTAGAAAGGGGTTGTAGTTCTGCATCCTTTCACTTACGAATGGTGCCTGAATATCATGCAGAACCATCTATGAATCAGTCCCTAGTCTTTTCTTCTTCTGTCAACTGATCATAGGGAACTCCTCATGAGATCATTGGTGCAGGCTGGGGGAGAGAAGGCTGAGTCGTAGGAATGGAGACCATGGGCATTTGAGCCACTTATGTAACTTACTTGTGCCTTCATGACCTGCTAAAGCCTGATCATGAATATACCACTTCCATTTAATGGTGGAATGCTGCTGTGCACGATCCACTTTATTGCTGTATGGGTGAGACAGTATTCAGTTCATGATAGGCAGTTCAGGTCTCATGGTGACTTGACGACCCATAGTCAAAAGTTCAGTTTCCACCAAAGCCCAGTGACAGGCCAAGAACTGTCTCTTGAAAGGAGAGTAGTTATTTGCATAAGGTGTCAGGGCCTTGCTCCAAAATCCTAAAGGCCTGCACTGGGATTCACCTATGGAGGCCTGCCAAAGGCTCCAAACAACATTGCTATCCGCACTAACACCTCAAGCACCAATGGATCTGCTGAGTCATATGGCCCAAGTGGCAGAGCAGCTTGCACAGCAGCCTGGACCTGTTGCAGAGCCTTCTCCTGTTTTGTACCACACTCAAAATTTGTAGCCTTACAGGTCACTCGATAAATGGGACAGTGTAACACACCCAAATTAGGAATGCGTTGCCTCAAAAATCCAAATAGGCCCATTTGGTGTTGTGGTTTTTTCTTTGTTGTAGGAGGGGCCAAATGCAGCAACTTATCCCTCACCTTAGAAGGAATATCTCAACAGGCCCTACACCACTGGACCCCTAGAAATTTTACTGAGGCAAAAGGTCCTTGATTTTTAGTCCGATTTATTTCCTATCCTCTGGCACGCAAATGTCTTACCAATAAGTCCAGTGTGTTTGCTACTTCTTGCTCACTGGATCCAATCAGCATAATGTCATCCATGTAATGAATCAGTGTGATATCTTGTGTAAACAAAAACTGATCAAGGTCTCTCTGATTAAGATTATGACACAAAGCTGGATAGTTCATATATCCCTGAGGTAAGAGAGTGAAGGTGTATTGCTGGCCTTGCCAACTAAATGTGGATTGATTCTGGTGGGCCTTGTAAACAGCAATGGAGAAAAAAGCATTTTCCATGTCAATGGCTGCATACCAGGTAGGAGGAAATGTGTTAATTTGCTCAAGCAATGAAACCACATCTGGTACAGCAGCTGAAATTGGAGATACCACTTGGTTAATCGTACAGTAATCTACTGTCATTCTCCAAGAACCATCTGCACAAGTCATATTGAAGAGCTGAACAAGAATGTGGTGTGAATCACCACTCCTGCATCTTTCAAGTCTTTGATGGTGGCACTAACCTCCGCAATTCCTCCAGGGATGCAGTATTGTTTTTGATTTCCTATTTTTCTAGTTAGAAGCGGCTCTAATGGCTCCCATTTGGCCTTTCTCACCATAGTAGCCCTCACCCTACCAGTCAGTAAGCCAATGTGGGGGTTGTGCCAGCTGCTAAGTATGTCTATGCCAATGATGCATTCTGGCACTGGGAAATGACCACTTGATGAAACTGGGGGCCCACTGGACCCACTGTCAGTTGAACTGGAGCTAAAACTCCATTAATTACTTCATCTCCATTAACCCCTACTTTAATTGGAGGACCACAATGACTTTTTGTGTCCCCTGGAATCAACATCATCTCAGAGTCAGTGTCCAGTAGTCCCTGAAATGTCTGATCATTTCACTTTCTCCAGTGCACCGTTACCTTTGTAAAAGGCCAGAGGTCTCCTTGGGGAAGGATAGGAGAAAGATTAGTTGCATAAATTGTCATTAATGTAGTGGGGTCCTTCCTCAAGGGCACCCAGCCTCCACTTTCCTCAAGGGGCTGTGGGTCTGTAAACTGGCCCAAGTCTGGAAATTGATTGAGGGGCCATAATTCTCTGTTTCTGTAATTCAAATTTGTCTTTGGCCCATTCGACCTAGAAGTTTTCTGCTTATATTAATTAAATTGAAATGCAGTAGGATTCCTATCAACTTCACTTCTAGGAACACTGTGATTAATTAGTCAATGCCAGAGCTCTATATGACTGGGACAGTTCTGATGGCTTGTTTGCATCTGCTTTCCATTACAATAGCTACATCCACCTTGTCTTTGATGGTCGAGTGCTGCCACTTGGCCCCTGCCACAGCGGATCCAATTATTTCCATTGTATTTAAATTTTATAGTTGAATGACTGCAGTTCCCACTGTTACATTTGACATACATAATAGAGCAACTACAGGACTCTTCAAAGATGCAGATACTGCCCTTTCAAATCTATTTGTCAAGGCATTGATGAAGGGTGTATCTTTTGGACCCTCCCAGCTGGGATGAGAAGGTCTGAAGTGACTAATTCACTCCACCATCCCCATTTTCCTCAGCCTTTGGATCCCTTCTTCTGCGTTAAAACAAGGGAGATCAGGCATTTCCAGCATGCTTATAGTGGGCCTGCTTTTAATTTGTATTTCAACTAACCAAGAAAATAAAAGATTAGAATCTTTTTTTAACTCCCTGGGCTGCAACATTAAATCCAGAGTCCCTTGTTAGTGGCCCCAAATCAATAAATTCAGCCTGATCCAATTCTGTGTTCTTTCCACCATTATACCACATCCTTAATATCCATCCCCACGCCTGTTCTCCAGGTTTCTTTTTTTTTTTTTTCAGATCTGAAAATGTCTTTATTTTTTAGAAAATGGATTCCAGGAAGGTTAAAAAGCAACACCAGAGGGTATAGGTGCAGAACTGGATGTAGTCATTCAAAGCATTCAAGTAAGAATATGGCAATATAAATATCCAAAAAGTATCTCTTAGGTATTCAAAACAAAACGTATAAGTCATTCCTAACTAATTTGAGCTTTATAGCATTTTCCTAGACAGGAAGGGGAAAAACAGTTAGCATTTAAAAGTCCTGAAAGCTTTTTCGTTGGTTAATTACATTAGATGGTTTGTCTTTGATCAAATTCCTTCTTTTTTAAACATGGATAAAAGTATTACATGGGTCCACTGTTAAAACAGACAACATGTTGCAAATTAATTCTGGTATAATGTTTTCCAACAAAGCTTAGAAAATAAAGGTGTTGAGGTGGCTTTGGACTAAGTTTAATAGTCATCTCCTCTGCTGACAACTTCTTTACATGTTGGACGCAACAGGATGGTATGTTCAAATTGCGCTGTATATGATCCTTTAATGTCACATAATAGTGGATATGGATCTACAAGGCCCAAGTCACACAGATTCTTCAGAGCCATCAAGTATTGACTTTCTCCCAAGCGATCCAGCCATCTGCGGCAGAAGGCAAGGGTGCCAAAGTTTTCACTGATGACATTTAGTAAGTGTTTTGTTCTTGGAAGCCTTATTGGCACATGTTCAACATCAAAATTTTTCATGTAATGTGAACATTCCATATCATCATGAACAACACCTTTTCCTGTACTACCAAAGGTTTCAATTGCATATACTTCTCCTTCCTCCATTCTTGCTGCCTCCCCTCCTTTCACAATCGGCACTGTTTTTCCAGCATGTATTCTATATTGCCCAATTGAATGTCCATTTAGATTATGGATTGGTTTCACTTGATATGTCTTCCCATCTATTTCAACTTCATAGGACTCCATAACTTCTTGGATGGCCTCACCAACATCACACAGACGAACATCAATTCCAGCACACTTTATTCCAGTGTTAGTAGCATCTTTTACAGCTTTTAATAATGTATCAAATTTGGGATTAAAAGTGACAGTAAAAGCACAGTCAATAATCCTACCACTTATATGTGTTCCAAAGTCTATTTTACAGATGTCATCATACTGTAATACTGTTGTGTCACCGGCATTGGGAGTATAATGGGCAGCACAATTATTGAGAGAACATCCAGTAGGAAATGCCAAGCCTGCATTTAATCTATTCTCTTTTATTAACTTGCGTGAACAGTCTTCCAACTTTTCACAGATTTCCATCATTGTCATCCCAGGCTTGATCCAGCTCATTACATATTTTCTAACTTGTCGATGTGCTTCTGCAGCTTCTCGAAAATCATTCCAAATCTCTTCACTTGCCTGATCTAATGCTTTCTTTTCTTCACTTGTAGTTCTCCAAGCAGCTGTTCGCCCATCTTGTGTGGGTGGGTATTCGCATTCTTGTCCTTTGGGAAATACACCATTAGGATACAGGTCACATATTGGAACTGAGGGAGGGTCTGTTTGAACTTTTGGTCCTCTCTTCTTCTTCTTCTTTTACTTCTTCTTTCCAGTTGCTCCATCTCCATCGCCATCTCCATCGTCATCATCTTCATCTCTTTCTTTATCTTCCAATGCTTGTCTTTCCAACTGTCTTGCTACTTCATCCACTGAGGCTCCTGATTCTTTATCAGGTTCCTGTTCCCCTGCTGCAGAAGCCCCTTTGCTCTTCTTCTTCTTTCGTCTTTTTTTCTTGGCTGCTTTCTCAGCCGTAGAGGCAGCTCCTTCTTCCCTGTCGTCTGGATCCAGGTCGCCATTCAAGTGGCTCCCAGAGGCTGCTGCCTCTTCCACATCCACCATGTTGCCCGAGAGAGCAGGAGGGAATGAGACCTGTTCTCCAGGTTTCTGTTTATATAAATTAGAAAACTCAAGCAGTTTTTTTTCAAGTGTAGTGCACCTCCTCATGCTTCACACTCTCAAACTCACTTCTAAGGGCCCGCAGGGACTTTAGTCACGTCATAGGTCTGGAAGCAAACAGGGGTGTTGGGGGTGGCTCTTGACTGGAATCTACATTATCTTGCCTGGCAACTGTCTCAGGGGAGGCCATCACTGTTGCCTTGGGCAGCACAGGGTTTATCTCCTCAGACAAAGGTAGAAAGACTGATGGTATCATGAGTCAGGGATGGGATGTTGCCATTATTGGTGATGGGGAAGCTGTTTCTTCTGGCAAAAAAGGTTCATCATAGTTTACAATCTCAGTGTTCCCAGCTTCATCAGGGTCCTCCTGCATGCCCCATTCCAAGTTGCAGGGTCCCATTCTTTTCCAATCAATGCTCTCACTCTAACAGTAGACCCCGGTGAGGTTCTGCATGCACCTTTCATTGCAGGTCAGCCACATGCATGATAAGAGCTTCTGTCTCTTTTTCCACAATTTCAGTGCTTTCTCTGCAGGAGATAAGACTCTCACTTAGGGCAATCACAGTAGATTTGGGGTTCAGTATCTGTTTCTGAAGTTGGGAGATAGAATCCCAGAGTTCATCATTTTCTTTCATCACTTTGTCCACTGAACTTAGGAGTAACCAACCAGCTTAATTATGTTCCTTGGTTCTCCACATATGGTCAAATGTATTATATACAGAGTCACTAAACTCCTTGCCTCTCATAAGTGGTAAATCAGGAGTGTCAAATGCATGTGTTTTGCATAAATGTCTAAACAGTTCATGTCAAGGGCTATCAGTATTCTCCATACTATTATAAGTAGAGCCTTAGCATTTGAGGTCTAATCATATTAATCAGCCTACTCCAGAAATCCCAAAATCAATGAAAGAACTCCATCCTTCATATTCTGTTCCTCAAGAACCACTCCCAGTACCCAAATCTGTATTAGTCAGTGTTCTCTAGAGGAACGGAATTAATGGAATATGTATATATTCCATTAATCTATCTATCTATCTATCTATCTATCTATCTATCTATCTATCTATCTTTCAGTGTGTGTCTGTATATATGCATATATATACAGACATATATATTTATATATATATATATACACACACATACAGACACAAACAAGCATATATATAGGAGTTTATTAGTATTATTAGTATTAACTCACAAGATCACAAGGTGCCACAATAGGCCGTGTGCAGGCTGACGAGTAAGGAGAGCCTGTCCGACTTCCAAAACTGGAGAACTTGGAGTCTTATGATCGAGGGCAGGAAACATCCAGCATGAGAGAAAGATGTAGGCTGGGAGGCTAGGCCAGTCTCTCTCTTAACGTTTTTCTGCCTGCTTTTTATATTCTAGCCATGCTGGCAGCTGATTAAATTGTGCCCACCCAGATTAAGGTGGGTCTCCTGTTCCCAGCCCACTGACTCAAATGTTAATCTCCTTTGGCAAAACCCTCACAGACATATCCAGAATCAATACTTTGTATCCTTCAATCCAATCAAGTTGACACTCAGAATTAACCATCACATCAGACCTCCTAACTGGTTCATAAACTTCCTGATGGCGGTGACCAAATGAAACATATCTTTTGTTTCTTTTAGATCAATAGCAGTTCTATAGTTCTATAGCTACATAAATTTTTAAAAGCTTAATAAATATTATTAAATAGAATGACAATAAAATAAATACTTACAAAATTTTCTGTTATTTGTATTATTGTAAGAGCCATCTAGCAATTATATAAAATCAAAAACACTAGATCTAGTTTTGTCAATAACAAAGATGATTATTTTTCTGATACATGGGCACTAGCTAAGACTGAGATAATCCAAAATATCCATTCAGAAATTAATTTTCATTCTCTTCCTACAGCTTCTTTTTGAGATCTGGTGATGAATAATAAAACAACCTGATTTGATTCAACTTATTTTTGTTGCTTTCCATGTTCACTGTCTGAGAGATGTGCTAATGAACAGCAAAATTGTTGAAGAGTTAACGGTAGCACAATAGAAAAATAAGTCATGGACAAATTGCAAAAAATGGAAGATAGATAACTAAGAATTATGATCATTTGGATGGGCATTATGTGGTAAAAAAATTTGATATGCTATGATTTTTCTATCAGTTCTATCAGTTCTATCAGTTCTCTGAAATGCAAATAAACAGGAAAATAATTGACCAAGAAAATAATTGACCAAATTTTCATCAAACATCCAGGTACATGTTGGTAAGTGGAAATAATACTTGCTTTAAAACCGACAATAGCAATGTTGTCTATGATTCAGATTTCACTTTCGTTTAAGAAATTCCATGCAGAAAAGAGTGAACATCTTGGAAACAGAACTATGAGGGATTTATAGAAGTCATATAATGCATTGCCTTTCTGGAGTGTACCACATCAAAAACAACCCAAACAGTTTAATTTTTTTAGGTGTTACTACAGACATTACAATCAGAGATACACTAGTGTGTATTAATCCAGTATACATACACTAGTGTGTACAATGTCAGATGCTGGCCTCTGCTGGACTTCTAGAGAGGCCTCAGGAAACTTACAATCATGGCAGAAGTTGACGTGGGAGCAGGCACATCTTACATGACAGGAGCAGAATCAAGGGTGTGAGGTGCTACACACTTTTAAACTACCAGATCTCATGAGAAATCACTCACTAGCAGGAGAACAGCACAAAAGGGATGGTACTAAACTATTCATGAGAAATCCACCCTCATGATCCAATCACCTCCCACAAGGTCCCACCTCCAACACTGGGGATTACAAATCCACATGTGATTTGGATGGGGACACAGATGCAAACAATACCCTGGAGTTTCACTATACAAATCCTCATAAAATTACTCTTGTCAAGATCAACTATTGCCACTATGTTAGACAAATTTAATGTTTTTTTTTAAGTTCTCACAATGAGATCTGTTTAAGCCTTTCACAAGATTAGACACACTCTAGAAACTTACTGTATTTCTGGCTTAATATAATTAAAAGACCTTACATGATGTTTAAAATAACATTCAAAATCGTTTACGTAGCCTATAAAGGGGCATGATCTAGCTCTTTCTTACATTAAACACCTAATCTTGTGCCACTTTCTCCCTTACTCACTACACAGCAGCCACAGCCACACTGGCATTTTAAAATTTTCTCTAATATACCAACCTAGGCCTTTGTCTATGATATTTAATATGTTAATACATGTAAAACCCTTAGCACAGAATCTAACTTGTAGTGAGATCCCAATAAATAACTTCTGTTTTATTTTTTATTTATTAATAGTTAATAATCATAAAATCTTATGAAGTGTGTCTTATTACATTTTATAGGAAAACTACTGCACAGGGAGAGTAAGTAACTTCAAAGATGGCATAGCTGATAGATGGTAAAATGGTGGGGCTGGAATACAACCCAAGAAGACTATGAAGTAATATATTAATTCATTTTTGCAGACAAAGACTATTCAAAGCCAATTATTAAGCAATAGTTGTAATCAGGTGTGTCTGATTTTAGAAGTTAGGTTTCTTAATGAAAAATAAGATGATGAACAATATTTATTAGCCAGAAAATACTGTGTGACCACTAGCACAGTTTCACAAATGGATTTTAGATAAGGGGAAAGTTTGACAACCTGTAATAGCTGTGTAATAACTCTGAGGTTAAATAAAGGGCAACTTGGTAGAATGTACCTAAAGTAAACTGGGCCTTGGTGAGGAGGAAGAGGGAATTGCTTCTAATAACTTCCATACAACATTCCCATCTCTACTTATGATTCCTTTGGAGATCTGAAAGTGGAAATGATATTTTGTGGTTGGAAGAAGAATTAAGGAGAGGGTAGGCATGCGGCTAATCAGTTTATCTCTGCCTCTATAATCAATAATTCTAAATGAAGATTACTAAGTTCAAATCAATCGGCTCACCATTTGGAAATCAGAAATAACATGGTCATCATTTGTCATTCTAGAAATTTATAGATTGCTGCTTTTGCATCACCCCTGCCTTCCCCTAAATTGTACTAAAATTACTGTGGATCTTATAAAAAAATAGTTGTGGATTTACGTAGCACATCCCTGCATCATCAATACACACATACACACACACACACACACACACACACACACACACACACACACACGTAAAACAAAGTAATATTTAAAGTTATCCCAACATTTAGGCTTCTATAACAAAATCCCATAAAGTGGGTGGATTATAAACAACAGAATTTTATTTTTCACTGTTCTGGGGAGGCTGGAATCTCGATATCATGATATCACAATGACTAGGTTCTGGCGAGGTCAGTCGTCCAGTTTTGAAGATGGCTATCTTCTCATTTTATCCTCACATGGAAAAAGTGGTGAGGAAACTTCTTCAGTCCTTTTTATAAGTGCATTAATCCCATTCATCCTATGACCCAATCTCTTCCTAAAGCATTACCTTCTAATACCATCATAACATAAACACATAGGAGTTGGGATTTCAGCATATCAATCCGGAGGGAAAACAAACATTCAGTCTATAGCAGGAACATTATTTTAAAATACAAAAAGTACTAGGGGGTGCATTTTAATGACGTCAACGCTTATTTCTGGAAAGCCACTGGAGGGTTTTGATCAGCACATTCACATTATGTGACTTACATTTTGAGTTGACCACTATGAGTCTTCTCTGGAGAAGATTAGGTGGAAGCAGAATGACTAGTTAGGAGGCTATTGCAATAATCTATATGCTGAATGATTGTGGCTTGGACTAAGATGATGGCAGTGGAGGCAGTGAGAGTTCCTGGATTCTGGATATATAATTTTATTCTATTTTTTAGAAATGTGGAACTCTAAAGAGTTATTTGAAAAAATACCCACATAGCATTCACTAGGAACTCATTATAAAAAAATTCAATTTATTGTCATTGTTATTC